GGGGGTTGCGGGTGCACCCCCACCCCACCCCCACCGCCCTGGCGATTGAAGGGGAGGTGGGGTGGGGCTGGAAAGTGCAGGGATCACTACAGGGGCAGCGGTGATGTGCCGGGTAGGGCAGCGCCGGGGATTGGGGGTTGGGGGCTGCGCAGCCGCAGGGGTAATGATAATCCTGCTGCGGGGGTTGGTCCTGGGGCCCGGGCTGCTGTGTGAGCCGTGGGGCCCAGGGCGTGCGGCGCAGCGGGTGGGGCGCCGTCCAGGGCGCACGTGCCCAAGACCAGAGGGCCGCGATCCGCGCGCACCCCTCCGCCCGCAAGGCGGCCCGGCCTCGCGGGCCACTGGCGGGGCGCAGCACGCGCGGCGCTGACCCGCTCGGGGACCTCCCACACGTCCCGGCGCGCGCCGCTCCTTGGGCCACGACCAACTCGCCCTGCTTGCGCCTCCACCTCTGCCTTCCGCATTGCGTGCCGGGCCTGGCCGTGCCGCGTGCGTCCAAACCGCCACCAACCCAAACCCGACGAAACCAGACGCGACCAACGAACCAAACAGCACCGTGCGGCCCCGCGTCACACTGCGCCGCGCGCAGGGCTCCATGATGGCCGCCTTTGCAGAGGGCCTGGTCCTGGCGGACGGCCTGGGCCTCAGCCAGCAGGACCTGCTGGATGTGGTGGCGCTGGGGGCGATCGCCTCCCCCATGTTCGCACTCAAGGGGCCCAACATGGCCAAGGCGCGTGGGGTGGCGGCTCGCGCTGCGTCCGCGGCGCCGCAGCGGAGCAAGGGTCTTGCCCCAAAGTCGTCTCGAGCGGCGGCGCCCGTCCAAGACGGCGCCCCCGCGGCCCCTCTTACGCCCCGGCAACACGCATACGCCCAGCTGTCCAAACAGCGCGCCCTGCTTATGATTACGTGCCCCGCCGAATACGTCCACCCCCGCCCCACAGGGAACCTTCCCGACCGCTTTCCCCCTGAAGCACCAGCAGAAGGACCTGCGGCTGGCGATCGCGGCCGCGGACGCGCGCGGGCAGCCGCTGGGCGTGGCGGCGGCCGCGAACGACCTTTACGTGCGCGCCAAGGGGCTGGGGCACGGGGACGCGGACTTCAGCGCGGTCTTGAGGGCGGTGGCGCAGCAGCAGCAGCAGCAGCAGCAGTAGCAGCGGCAGCGGCGGCAGCAGCAGGATTGAGGGCGCGCATGCGCGCTGCCGTGGCGCTCGGGCAACGGCGGTCGGCTCCGGCCTGGCGTGCGGTCGCGCGGGTGCAGGGGACGGTGCGGGGCTGAGCCGTGGTCGAGGTTTTTGACGGCAGCGGGGCGCACGCATAGGTGCAAATTGCGGTGTTGCAGGAAGGTTTTGAAACCTGTAACTCCCAACTTGCACGGCGGAGTTCCCCCTAGCGTGGTGCTGCCAGCGCCGGGGTCACTTGGTGAATTCCTGGCAGGCCTTCTCTTCTGTCGCCCTGGATTGCAGAAGCCAAGGGGGGTTAACCGACAGCAATTACGGCGTCAGACAGCCAGAACGACGATGAAAAATGCAAATAAAATCATCGAATAGAGTCACACCACGATTGAATGTCATAAAGCACATGTGGTGGCCCACTCAAGGGAGCAAGTTAAGACGCGTCAGCCGCCGGCTGCGCCGCCGCTCTTCTCCGCAGCTGCGCCGAGGCCGCCCCCGCCGCCGGGGGCCCCACAGCCGCGGCCGACGCCGTCGCCGGCCCCGCCGCAGCGGCGGCTGCACTTCCGCCATCCTTGCCATCCGCGCAGGGCACCCATCGGCACGAGTCCTGCGGGGCCACAGCACGACAAGTGTGCCGGCACGTCAACCGAGATCCAAGCAGGCCGACCGCCCATCTGCCGGGACGCCTCCTCGCAAATGCCATCCCCGCCCCTGGCCACGACCCTGCCCAACCCCTTGCTGCAAGCCGTCGGAGCGGCTAGCAGCCAGCTGCTGCCTTTTTTTGTGGTCATACAGCTCGCTGACGGCTGGGGCCGCTGCCTGTCCTGGTGCCCATACTCGCCGCAACTGCTCACC